TATATATATATATATATATATATATATATATAAACCTTTCTAACACATTTCATGATCTAATTCAATAATTTAAGACTTTTGTTGTTACTTGATGCAAAATACATTTTTCTATTGGTGCAATACTATCTATAATATTTGAATCAAATATATAGACAAATAAATGTTATGCATGATACATTTTTGTATTTCCTGGGACATTTCCATGTATGCATGTCATGATTTATTTTTGTCCTCCACATACTTCATGTTTTCATCAAATGTTTTATTTTTTTTATTTTTTTTTTTTTTGCATTTTTGAATTATTGCACTAGAGGAGCTTGATAGAGAAAAAAATCTGAATAAATTTGCAAAAGTTTTTAAAAAAGCTTGTACACATGCTTTAGCTTTTTTTTTTTTTTACTTTCTATGTAAGCATAAAATGTGATAAAGAGAAAATGGAAATACATTTTTGGAAGAAGTTCTGATATAGTGAATATATACCTGAGATGATCAGCTGTCTCTGGCATCCTAACAGCGCCATTACAGTCAGAATTTTTTCTCGATGTCTCTGGATGGCACGAAAAATATACTAACACTATTTTGATATGAAACTTATTCTAATAGTAGATTAGAAAAACTAATACAAGCAAATAAATATTGCAAAAATTAAGCTATTTTTTTTGTTTTTAGTATCTTGCATTTTATTGTAAGGACTTAGTATTCAGAGATTAAAGAACAGTGAGTTATCCATGAAGTTTGTTGTCATGGAGACTGTAGATGAGTTTGATGCAGTTTTGCAGCTTTCATAGAACAGTTGTATGAGCATTGAGTGCAGAATTGATCTAATATTTGGTATATATCTGGATAATTTGTAATCACACATATAACACAAACGGACCACCTTTAGATGCTAGTGCCATGAGGTGGATTAATCATTAGACAGCTGTCCAATAACTGTCTATGCATAGTGCTTTTACTTATTCTTTGTTATACTGTATTACTTCATGCGTAGCAATGTTTAACAATGTGCATTTTTAATGAAGGATTTCAATCTGTATCTCGACAAATTGCTTTCTTTAATACCTCTTTACTAAAAGCAGCAGCAGGCCTTGACTGTCCCTTATTTTTATTTATGAGAGGTGGCAACCCTAGCTGTGACTCTTCTGGTCATCTATGCTTCGCTGATGAGGTGTTAAAGAACTATTTCAGAATCTTCAAAATATGGCTTTAATGAAAGTAACCCAAATCTGAAAAAAAAAAAAGAGAAGTAATTTTTACTCTTTTTAGATATGGGTCAAATGTGTATGAGTATGTTTTCCCTCAATTAAATTTGACCCAGAAAAGTTCCTGTGTACTTTGAAATAAATGCAGCTGTTCTATGAAGCCATTAGAGTTTTTCAGAGAACATTGGAGGACAATGAGCACGATGAAGACCAAAGCAGAAAAGATTGGCGAGAACGTTTCTTCGAAGTTAAGAGCAGGTTAGGTGATATATGACATACAGTGGCTGCAGGACCATCCACTTATGCTAAAAAAAACGAGGGAAGGAGAGCAGCCCAGCTTTTTGCATTATTATAAAACGCAATGTTAGGCAGATAAACGTCATTTATTAAACACATCCTGGCATATGGCGGTGGCGGTAACATGCTGTGGGGTTTTCCTCAGGAAGGGAAGCTGGTCAGAGTCTTATAAAGCCTGATACTGAGTAGGAGGGCAACAGCTCTAGACATACAGACAGGAGCTATAGTGAAGTAAAAACACAGAAGTGTTTCAGACTGGCCTAGTCAAAGCCCGGCCAAAGTCCTGCTTAAAAGGTGGTGAAACACGATTGTTACAGTTGCTGTCCATCCAATATGACTATATAGAATAAAAAAAAAATCTATGTGTAAAAATCTGGTAAAGACACGCACACACACAAAAAAAAAAACAGCAGTAAAAAGATTGTTCTGATTCTGACTTATGCAGCACTGTGATATATTTAGGTGACATATTCAGGTACCGTGGAGTTTAGTTCTGGGATTCTGGGCCTTACCAGTCTCTGAGCAACCATCTCCAGATGGGACAGCAAGGCTTTCTCTGATCGTCTCCAAGCTGTGAAGTAGACCGCTCCGAGCAGTTGCATAATCCGGCACAGAGGCTGCTGTCTCCATGCTGCCAGTTATTGTCTCCAAAAGCAGCTCCAGCTGATATAACTCCTTTGTCTAAAGGTAAATTAAGAAAGACATCCTCTAAAAAAAAAGAAGAACTAAGTGGTATTATAGTTAAAATGTGATCCATGAATACTGTTGTTAACCTGCAGGGCAGCATTGAGAGCCTTCAGGTCGAGTCCAGTACCAAAAGCAGCCTGGAAGCTGTGCAGGATGAGGGTTATTACAATGTTTCTGTTAGAGTAATGGATGGTACTGAGCTGCTCGGAGGCCAACTGGACCTCCTGAGGCGCATCATTGTCTGGGCTCACCAACAGCACCATTCTGAAAAACACATCCATTGGAATTAAAAGATGTTCTTTTTAAATCTGGATTTCTTTTCTCAGTACCATGAACCTGAACTAGAAACTTACATGGTTTTAGAGCAGTTAACTTCAGGGGAAACAGCCTGCTCAGTCTTTACCAGTCGATGAAATAAAATGCCTGCAATTAAAATTATAACACTGGTGAGTGGGAAAAAAGCACAGTAAATATTTTTTACACATTTGATGAAGAGGTGATTGTCTTTGTTTATAGCATTAACGTTATTTCTGTTGAAATATGAACGGAAGAGAAGAAAGGGTCAGAAATGTCAAGATAAAGAGCTAACTAGAAGGTGAGGAGACAGGAGCCGGTGCAGAGTGGAGATAAAAAAAAAAGTGTAAACAAAGTTAAGATCTGGGTCCTTTTTTTCAACAAAATTGAAACCAATGACTTATATTTAATGGAAGAAATGAGTGACACTTTAAGTTATGTATATTCGATCCCTGTTGCTCAGAACCCACAAAAAAACTAAATGCTAGACTGAGAAAAAAGCAAATGTAATGTAGTTTATTTTAAAAGGTAAAATGTTTTATAATAGAATTAGTCTTGCATGTCCAAAAAGTGCTTTTAAATAAAAGATTTTGGTCAACATAGCCAAACATTTGGACATCATTGGTTCTATTATAGTCAAAGGGAGAGCTTTTCACTCCCCATTAGACTTTGTATTCCTCAAACAAGGTCTGTTGTTATAAATAATCGTGGATCCCTTCCACTGAGACTAGGGAGGAGTTTAGATGTTTTGGGTTCTTTGGTAATCTCCTGCTGCGATGGACTGGCGACCTGTCCAGGGTGTACCCCGCCTCTCGCCCATTGACTGCTGGAGATAGGCACCAGCACCCCTCGCGACTCCAATTGGGAGAAGTGTGTCAGATAATGGAGGGATGGATGGTGATCTCCTGGATGAATATTTGGTGTGCTCTTAAAGTAATTTTGTGAGGTTAAATATTTGTAGGGACAGCTGGAGATAGGCACCAGCATCCCTCGCGACCCCAGCAGGGATAAGCGTGACGGGAAATGGATGGATGGATATTTGTAGGAATCACTGTAGAACATTTGGCTGCTTCATGTTGTTTTCCATTGAATCTCTGAATCAACAGACAGAAGTTTGAATACGGTGAGTGAATTTGAACCAAACATATCATTAATATTAAAAGGTCTTCATGGTTCACTGTTTAAGATGAACCAAAACTATCCAACCAAGTTTTTTTTATTGTTGTTTGTATACCTTTTATCCTTTAATGAACTGCAAAACCATCAGTTTGGAAAAAAGAAAGTATTGCATTTGATGAGGTTCTCTGCATTTGGTTTGTGTGTGACACATAGGCAAATCCATAGGAAATCTGTAAGTGTGTGACACTTTTCAACACTTTTCTGGACACTTTTATGTGAGTAAGAGTTTAAGCAACCTGGAGCTCGAATCTCCTGCTCGATGATGATTAGTAAACGTCTACTGGCAGAACTGCAAGGCTCCGGCCAGGCCAGGAACTGGTGGAACAACAGGTAGGCCTCCTGCAGCACATTGCACTCTGAGGCTACATAGGGGGCCTATAAGAGAGAGCAAAATTATTTGATGCAAAACCAAATCAGATGTAATGCGTAATTAACCCCTAAAAAAAGGAAAAGGGTTTTTGCTTTTGTATTCTTAACAGAAAATGAATCAAACTCACTCTGAGAAGAGCTTCAGAGAAGAGAAGGGTCAGAGGCACAACCAGTTCATACTGACACTCCTCCAGCACCTGCACAGCAGCACAGGATCAGAACACAGACAGGCGGAGGACTTTAGATAGGGAGAGTGGTTTTGGTTTTTATTCCTTTTTTACCTTCTTTGTTTTTTGCAGTATTTTCTGCAGAAGGATGAGGAAGTGGTTGGGATGCCTCTTCACAAGTTCCTCCAAACACCAGCGGCTTATGCACAGTCCAGCTTGTTCGAAAAACAAAAACAGACGCAACCTGAATAGAGGCTCACTTCTCTTTTCAGGTTTCATTCTGATGTAAATCCAACTCTTCTTCACTCGAATTCATCCACACAAAAGGTGAATGCCGCTGATACCTACACTCTAGTTTCTCTTCTTTTACCTTTATGAATGAAACAGTTTTGTTTTTATATAATTCAAAACCAATGTTGCATTCTGCTGGTGTGTCACCACTTTCAGTTCCCATTTTCTCTAGGAACCGAACGGTAGCTCTCTAGTTGGTAAGATGGATATTTAACAGAATTTGGACTAGATTTATCCTAATATATACATTTTTATTCTCCTATAGGCCTTTCATGTCAGTCACACAACTTGTTTCTACAAAAGGCAATTATAGTTTGGGATCTTACCATTCCAGAGCTGCTTGTCAGGAGAGTTGATTCCCAGGTGACAGAGGCAGCGCTCGAGGCTATGCTGGATACGGTCCTCTGTGCATGAACTCTGCTCCATAGCCTACAAAATCATCCCGACATCCACAGACAAATTAAGAAAAGACACACCAAGAGGAAGTCCTTTCTGTTTGCCTCTGTTCCTGGTGAGCCAAAAGGTCCTGTCAGTCGACCCAACTTCCTGTTGCTGTTGTTGTCAGTAAATACTAATCATTGTTGCTCAGAGACAATACAATCCTTACCCAAGATAAAAGGATCTCACAAACACATTCAAACACCAGTGCCCATGCACAGATGTCAACTTTGAAGCCATTCTAACGCTTCCCATTGGTGAGTCAGAGTTGACCGGAGATGAGCTGGTGGAAAACAGGCCACAACTTCTACTTTTTACACTAAAAATTAACAGAGGATGTCTGATTTTATATGACTCAACCTTAGGGTGGAATTTAAACTTTGTCAACTTCTTTTCAGATTCCCCCCAAACATATTCTGTCAAACTAACTTATAAGGTCATTGCTAATAACACATTACCAAAGTGGGAATTTTTTTGAATCATGTCTCACCCACCCTGAGGCTGTGGTCAGTGTATTAGTCAGAAGGTGAATAAAAATGACTGTTTCAAAGAAAGAATATTATTTAACTCAATAAATCTGCTGTTATTGATGAGCTTTACCTGTGGGAAGATGATCTCTAGTAATGATCTAAGCAGAGATGGGAAGTAACGAAGTACAAATACTTCGTTACTGTACTCAAGTAGATTTTTCTGATATTTTTACTTTACTTTTTATTTTTATGGTGACTTTTTACTTCTACTCCTTACATTTTTACACAAATATCTGTACTTTCTACTCCTTACATTTTAAAAAATTGGCTCGTTACTTTAGTTTTGAATCATTTCAATGGAGTTACCGTTATTATTTTTCACGTCATCAATACCAAATTCAATCTAATTGGATGGGAATCTACGTTGCATTTGACGCACCACTACAAGATGAATCGACAGATTCGGCGGTATTCATTCGCGGCAAATTCATTGCAGCTTGGTGGCGGTGGCATTAGCATAGTAGTATGGATGATGAGATGATTGAAAATGAACACAACGGAGATCTAGTCCTATTGGCAGACATCCATTTAAAATGTAGGCAACGGCATGAAAAAAGTGGTTTCTACTTTTACTTTTATACTTTTAAATTTACAAGCCTGTACTTTGTTACTTTTACTTGAGTAAAGAAGTTTAATAAGTACTTCCACTTTTACCAGAGTATTTTTTAACACAAGTATCTGTACTTTTACTCAAGTACAGAAAGTGAGTACTTTTGCCATCTCTGGATCTAAGAAGAACTTCTGAAGATTTTTAGATGCTTAGATCCAACCCTCAAACCTCATGGTCAAGTAGACACTAGAGTTTTTTTTCTTTTTTAATTTTAAGCCTCATTCTTTGCAGAGGAAAGCCAGAAACAATAATAAATCTTTTATAAGCATGAACTCAGATTACCGTAATTGTCTCCTAGGAATTGGCCTGGCTTCCATAGCTCGCCAATAACTGGCACAAGTAAACCAAAAAAAAACATTCCACTTTTTATTTAATTTCTGAATAGATTTAAAATGATCCTGTTTGTTTTATAACCTCACTGCTGAACTCATATGTCTCCTTTTATTCCCTTATAAAAACCATGCCTTATTCTTTTACCTGAGGGATTACAGAGATTTGCAATTTATTTTTATTTTGTAAAGAAAAATAAAGCATTGTTGTTCAATTTAAAAAGCCTTTTATTTGCATTAGCCTTCAGAAGAATTTAGAATTTGTTAAATCTAACTATGGCTAACGCTGAATCGTTTTTATTGCTAAAAAAAACAACAGTTTCCCCTCTGCAATGGTCACATGTGGTTGGTTAGGATTTTGACATAAAGATTAAGAATATATTTGTATATATTCCTATTCTCAGCTCCTCCGTCCTCAAAAGTATCTGAAATATCCCACTTCAATAAGACAGATGCTAAATTGTCCACTCAGGAAGCAGGTGGTGATCCATTGTAAGTCGGGCAGCATTGTCTGACACTTGTGTGCAAACACTGCTTGTAATGAAGCAACATAGAAACTGTTGGCACGAATTATCAGCCACAAAGCGGCTACTGGTGAACTAGCAGAGAGCTGCTGCTGCTCTATAGGTCATACAGACAAGTCTAAAACAAAACAACAGATTAAATGCAAACACAAACATATGATATTCATGTTGAGCTGGTTCATAAACAATAAGAAGGGGAACAGGAAATATAATGTAAACTACCTAAAAAAAGGCTTGTTTATCCTACAAATAGGCTGCTTAATAAAACAAAAACCCAAAAAGAAAAATCCAAATAATACAAAATATGCCATACAATATACAGTTTCTTTTCGAAAAAAAAGAGAAAATAGTATTGAATTATTTCAGAGAGGCATAACTCTTACCAATAATAGCATTAATCAGTGTCCTAGATCAATACGGATCAACCACAGCTGTGAAACGCTGGCAGCGTGAAATACCAAGACCACATCCTCCTGTGTAGTTGCCTTTTAAACAGACCCTCCAGCTGCTCAGTCAAAGCACAAAGTGCTACAAAACAGGAACTGTCTGAGTTTTTTGCTGAAGTTTACATATATGTGCCACTGCAGAAGGCGGAGTCTTCTGTCTGACAGCTGTCAACTGACCCTGTGAAAAGCCAGGTAGGATGCATCTGCTGCTGCCCATTCTCAGTTAGAGGGAAAAAAAATCTAAAGTGTGCATTGAACACGCATTAAAACACAAAACTAATTCCACATGTTTGTTGTTTATTTACTAAAATATTGACGGCAGAACAAAGTTGTTTATGACACCTGCAGTCACATTTGCTGCCTCCATTGGATTTGAGAGGAAAAATATCACTTAAATAGCATCAAGTGTTTCATAGAAATAGGTGTTGTGGTAATTAAGATATAAGGCTCAAAGTAGAGGCTTAGTATTCATATTCTCTGTTTCAGATGTTTAGATGATTAATGCACTCTTTTAGTTCTGATGCAATTGAAACTAATCTTTTATCTCCATAGAGGCGATAACAAACATCATGCAGATGACAGCACTTGTGCCGCTGCTTCCAAAATCTGGAGATCCTTAAAACTAAATTGCTTAAACACCTTAAACATACAGCAAGCTGGAAACAAATTTTTATTTCAACTGAACCTTAATATGAAAAAGGTTAAGGGTTAACCCTGTTTGGTCATTCAAAGTCAGTCTCTTGAAAGTTACGGTGAAAAGTTTGTATCATTTGAGAATTATTTTCAAGCTTATAAGATGTGGTTCAAAACAGGAACTGGAAACGATTATTCATGCTTTTATTTCCTCTCATGCACACCCTTGTAAAACAATTTATGCATGTTTCAACTGCATGTGTAACTCTTGAGCACAACCCTTAACTGGAGAGAGGAGAAATCATCTCACTCTGGTATTCATTCTCTGCATGCAAGCTGTATTCTAAAATACTGGGTTTAACATTGAGAACCTTGTTTGGTCAAATTCCTTCTAATAAACTGAATTTGTGAAATCACACACTCCAAATTAAGTCTTCATGTTCTAAAACCAAACATAGAACGCAAAGTGATTCACTTGACCAAAAAAGTCTCACCTCTGCTGTTAACTTTCTTTGTGTTTATGTTGACATGTGTATGGTGGCCCAGAGGTGTCAGATAAAAAACAAAAGCCACAGTGGAAATACAAAAGCTCTGGGCCACCGTACATCAGACAGTTTTAATCGAATCTTCTAGCCTTAAAATGTGTTTTTTTAAATATCTAAATAATATGTCTTGTGTAATCATACTTAAAAGGTGTAGGCATTTTACAGACAGAATGTAAGTTTAATATAAGATTATGTTCTTTGTATAGACCCTGTAGTCTTGGAGTATTTGGAAGAAAAGAAAACAATCTTTTCTTCCAAAAGAAAACAGAGCTGTTGCAGTCGTTTGCATTCTCTCCTATTTCTGAAAAAAAAAAAAAAAATGTCTGTGGCCAAAACAACACCATAATTTGGTTAAAAAGAAAAAAGAAAAAAAAAATCCTGTTTCAGTCCAGAATATCAATTAGTTACATCAACTGAAAAACATGGTGATGGAGAGACAGTGATGTGGAAATGGTTCATTTCAAACCTCTCAGTATATCAGAATATTCTAGCTCCAACTTTTTCTTTGTGTAACATCTAGAATTCAAAGCTACAACAGAATGGATAAAAAAATAATTATTAAAGGTTTGTTACAGTGCAGTCAAAGCACTAACCTCTGTAACAGTAAGGTGGAACCTAAAGACAGATGTGCTTCATTTAATGTTTTATAGCTCAAATAAACTGAAACAAAACTGGAAAGACGGGAGTAAAGTTTTTGAGATAATTACTTCAATATAAAAATTCCTTCATTTCTTTTTGTCCGACAAAGGATATTCTACAAATTACTTTACTTAAAACTTTCTACAATATGAAACATTGTAGAAATTTTGTGTGTTTTATTGAATAATATAAACCGATTCAGGCAAGTATAATTCTGTTAAAATGATATGCTCTGAAAGTCTATGGGCTTTCCTTCACCATCACTGTGAAAACAAGTCCCTATTTTAAAATATGAGACATATTGTTGTTTTTAAAGCTTTCAGCAGTAATATTTAGTTTTGTTTCATGGTTCATTTATGTTTTATCTTGTTTTCCTGCACACTTCAATTTGCTTTTTAAAAGATACTCAGAAATGGCGTGAATATCCTTCCCTGCCACTACCTGCTGGTGCATTGGTGATTCGTGGTGACCAGTTCTGTGTGCTGGGGTGTGTAGCATGTGGACACCCTGCCCCCCAGCATCGTGGTACTGTGTCTCGGGTGTCTGAGTCCATTGCTGGATTTTCTGCTTCGAGCCTCAGGAAACAGTCTCTAAAATGCCATGTCAAATAAATTAAGATGGGCAAACGTCATTCAGTTATTTGTGACCAATCAAATCAGTTTATTGAAGTTGGAGCTGTATTCTCTTTCTAGAGTGTGACCAATGTTACAAGCAGAGGTAGATTGAAACATGTTGGTGAAGATTCTCAGTCATCCAGGTCATAAAAAAAAAAAGAAAATTAAAAACAATCCAATGGATTAATGCATATTCACTAATCCAAATGTCAGGAATAGCACTGAGTTCGAGGTTTTATACCGTAGCCCATCAAAAGGGCTACGGTATAAAACCTTCGTCCTTTTCAATTGGCATGTTTTCAAAGCAAAAACAAGGTTTTGATGGGCTACTGTATAAAACTTCTAACTCAAAGCTGTTCCTGACATTTTGAATTGAAAAGCTTCCTGGATGGGAAGCGAAACGTCTTCAAACTTGGAAACATAGTCCGGCGGATTGTTTTTAACTTTCTTTTCTTGGATAGTTCGAATAGTTGGATGTGTGTATATATCATGTAAAACTGTAACTAGATTTTAAAACCTGGTGATTGATTCAGTTCTAACAGGTTGTATTACGGAGAAAACAGAAAGCATCATGATGAATGATGAAAAGAAAAAACTGATTTGACTGTGTTTTTGCTTTAAAAAAGTTGAGTAAAAGTTTAATTAATTAAACTAGATCCCCTTAACTTTTCATTATTTAGTGATTTGTGAATAAGAGACCTATTGCTTTCCATTATATTCATGCATTTCTTATATAATGCCAGAAGATGTCGCTGCTTCCTTTTTCATAGTAGAGAAAAAGAGATCCATTTACTTACGGACCTTTTTCCTCTCCTGCTGTTAGAATAGAGAGGGAATGGGACAGACAGTGATAGAGGTGGGCAGAGGTGTGACAGAGGGGCTGAGGCAGACAGCCAGTTGGGAATTCACCATTTATTTTCTCTCTCCCTTTATTTTTTTGTAATATATTCTCAGAAAGGAGAAGGAGACTTTTACTCTTCTGTTTCGTGCGTAAAGAGGTTTTTTTTCCTTTTCCAATTTCTCCGGAGCCCAACTCTTTCAGCCTAAGCTGTGAATTGTAGAGGTGGTGGTCTGGGTGGAGTTTTCTTTCCTCTTGTAAGGTTATCTCTAAACATTCAGCACCATGCCCTTCTTTAGCCGTGCATACCTCTAGTTCTCCTGATCAGCCTCATTCATTTTGTCTTAGTATTTGCCGCAGGTGCCTGTAGGTGATAACTGTGCCTTCACTGTTTCAGCGCATCGGCCCCTGTGGCGCTCGGACCGCTCCTACCATGAGAAGGGTGTTGGAGACTTGGGTCGCCCTCCTGACAGTTTGCGCGCTGAGCGGAGATGCCTCTGCGGGATACGGGTTGAGCATGTTCGCCGCGCAGTCCTCCCCACCGGACCCGTGCTATGATGAGAACGGGAACCCGCGGAGGTGCATCCCTGACTTTGTAAACTCCGCTTTCGGGAAAGACGTGCGCGTTTCCAGCACCTGTGGCACCCCGGCGGCCCGCTACTGCGTGGTGACCGAGAAGGGAGAGGAGCGCACCCGGGACTGCCACACGTGCGACTCGGCGGACCCTAAGAAGTCTCATCCACCGGCCTACCTGACGGACCTCAACAACCCGCACAACCTGACCTGCTGGCAGTCTGAGAATTACGCACAGTACCCGCAGAACGTCACTCTCACCCTGTCGCTTGGGAAAAAGTTCGAGGTCACCTACGTGAGCTTACAGTTCTGCTCACCCAGACCCGAATCCATGGCGATTTACAAATCCATGGACTACGGCAAATCGTGGGTTCCGTTCCAGTTCTATTCCACGCAATGCAAGAAGATGTACAACCGGCAGAACAAAGCGACGATCACCAAGCAGAACGAGCAAGAGGCGATCTGCACGGACTCCCACACCGACATGCACCCTCTGACCGGCGGCCTGATCGCCTTTAGCACCCTGGACGGCAGACCGTCGGCGCACGACTTCGATAACTCGCCGGTGCTGCAGGACTGGGTGACTGCCACCGACATCAAGGTGATCTTTAGCCGCCTTCACACCTTCGGTGACGAGAACGAGGACGATTCGGAGCTCGCGCGCGACTCCTACTTCTACGCCGTGTCGGACCTGCAGGTCGGAGGACGGTGCAAGTGTAACGGGCACGCGTCGAAGTGCGTGAAAGACAGAGAGGGGAACCTGGTGTGCGAGTGCAAGCACAACACGGCGGGGCCGGAGTGCGACAGGTGCAAGCCGTTCCACTACGACCGACCGTGGCAGCGCGCCACGGCCAGGGAGGCCAACGAGTGCGTGGGTAAGGAAACTCTCTTTTTATATAAGATGGAAATGTTTAACGTTCATTCTGGTTTTTTCTTAGAATTCACAAAAAGTTAACTCAACAAACTATTGCACTCATAATAATGTTCTTGATTTGAATCAGCATTTCTGATCGAAATTGAGTTGAAATTTTACTGCTGAAAAAAAAAAAAAAAACTTTGGGAAAACTGCAGCTGTTTTCACAAATCTACTTAGTAAACAAATATATTTAGATTTTAACAAATCTTTTTAGTTCATTTTCCTCATATAAATATATTTTACTTATAGGACATTTCTCAGTATACACTATCTTTCTATATATCTTAGTAGGTGTTCTCACAGGTTGCCATTCAGTTTAATAGATGCAGAGAATCCACAGATGTCTTAACAGACTTCAACGTTGGATCCTTATAGTACCTTTACTGTCCACCTTTTTTAATTCATCTGACGTATTATTTTATGTTAAAAATAATAGAATAGTAAATCCCTGTATTGTCCCACATTGGGAAAGCAGAGATAAAATTAACTTTACTATGGATACACTTGAGCTGTATCTAAATGCAGGGGATTTGCTTTAGATCCAAAGACATAGATGGGCTTTACATTATTTTGCTTTATTTGTATGTGAACATTTTTAACCATCTTTTATAGACATTAACAATTGGATTTTTTTATTTATATACTCCAAACAAAACACATGTTTATAGCTTGATATTTCCTAAATCACTGTCTTCAAATCTTATATCAAATGTTATATTCTTTGCAGAACCTAAGACAGACTCTTGTATTGCCTATCAGTTCTTAATTTGGTATAGCAATTCTCAAACAACCAGAAGTTTTAATGTGCTTCTTAAAAAAGATGTTATTTCATTGGCACAAACACTGCATGGAACAATTATTTATATATAAAACTGTCATTAAATAAAAAAAGATAGTTATGTAATTTACACTAATAGGAATGATTGTTAAAGAAACATAAAGAATATTATTTTTTGATAAAATTGGTTATGTTATTATTCAGTCAATAATATCATTATAATTTGAAATCCAATATATTATTAATTTATTAACAGTTGTCTGTTTTTGTGCCACATGTAGGTTTTGAAATAACAATCAGCTGAAATGAATTTATACAAAATAATTTGAAAGATTTTGAAGTGAAGAAATGAAGGGTTTTTTTGGGAAAATAGATGAAAAGAGAAGTTAACCGATAAGAATGTGCTGTTGTAAAGACTATACATGTTATAATAATTAAATGAATGAAGTCTATTTAAGTTTGGTGGCAATAGCAGTTTGGCTATGTGTACAAACTACTGTGAAGGATTATAATTTCACTCATTTTAACTATCAAGAGACCCTCACTACAATATATTTTTTGTATAGTAGAAGGAAATTGTAATTGATGAGGAGCTGAGAGGTGGGGAAGCTGCTAACTTTGTGGCTGGGAGCAAGAAAATAAGTTTAAATCCTTTCTTTATGGAGTTCCCATGTTCTCCCAGTGCATGCAGGGATTTTCACCTATGAAAACCTGGACAGTAAGGTTTATTAGTCCTGCCCAGTCCAGTGTTGGCCTGGTCACCTCTCTAGGGTGTACCCTGCCTTTCTCCCGATGGCTACTGGTGATGGGCATCAGGATGATTGCAGGAGATCATAAGTAGGACCCTGTCTGCTCCATGACCTTTCAAGGACTTGCATATTAAAAGTGACAGGGCAGAAACACAACCACCGAAACTGAGAAATAAATTTGGCAACTTTAGGTTTATTAAAGGCACAAATCTATAATAAATGAAAACCGGAGAGTTATATATGTCATAATTGGACAAAATAATAATTGAGCAATACACAAAAAATGTGTATTTAGAACTATGCAAATATATTTAAATCCTCAAATGGTGCATACTTAGACCAGTGGAAACACATTGTGAATATAGTGCAAGTTAAATAATTGAGACGGAAGTGTGGGGCGCAGGGCGTCTTTTCAGCAAAGCGTGCCTGTCTGAGTGCATAATTGTGCACAAACCAACATTTGCGACTTTAATAGGAAGGAAAGTGCAGAGATAGACTGCAGGGGCGGGATGTGTTTCCATAAGCAGGTGCTGTTACAGATCGCAGGGCCGATTAGGGCGGTTTTATTGACATTTCTGGCACATGGAGTATAAACTGCCACTTTAGAGGCGGTAAACTATTCACAGAGGGGAACAAAGCGTGAGGTAATTTGAATCCGAGTGTTATTTGCTGTGATGCCCATTTCCAGCAGAGCAGCAGGGGCTTATATCAACAGCTCAGGCCTCCCTTAGCCATGGCGAGGCGAATCAGGAGGAGCAACGAGCCCCGCCACTGCCATGGTTTGCTCAACCAAACGGAACAAGTGAACAAGTTGTTCTCTTTGGCCTCCGACTTTCGCCCGCATGTGAGCGCATTTTACGAAAACAAAAGCATGTCACTTGTGGCATCCATCTCACTGTCAGAGGGAGGCCTCTCCTCCCCTCCCCTTCCCTGCCTCACTCTTTGTGCAAGTGGTGTCATCAGATAAGACTGCAGAGGAGCCTGACTGGGAAAATAATAGGAAGGGTGGCCTGACACCAGAGCCGGACAAAGCTTCTATGGGGCCCAGAGCACATTTTTATTTTGGGACTCATTTACTGTTAAACCCAGGTGTTGGTAAACATTCATTTGATGATAAAGGCGGATGATAGGATTTGTTTTTTAATCAGCTGTTGGTAACAGCTTTAATTAAATCCAAGCAACATAATGGAACTTGAAACTGTAAATATTAGCTTTTACAAAAAAGAAAATAAATGATTGTGATAGCATCACCGCATGCAGTCTCTATAATCGGTGGCAGGGGTGGAGCCTGCTGCCCATTACAACGTTAACAGACAGACTGCATATATTATCAGTATGCAAAGTATTTGTTCATGACAGCTGGAAATAGTCAAAACACTTCCACTGCAAGACATTTTTTGCAATAACATTCTGCATAATAATGTGATGAAGAGGATACTTCACAGTGTAACCCTAACTTTGTATTTTTTGTCCTTTTAAAAATCGTATTCATTCTTTTTTAATATAAGGACATTATTATGTACATATAATAGGTTGCTGATGTTTTACCCAAACAATAAGGCTCACATACAAAGTAAAAGGCTATATTTTCAAAATAAAAGCTGGATATGCTCTACTCTTGCATGAAGAATGAACTCTTTATGCTTGGTTTGTTTTTGGATTGTTGACTGACTGGTTTGGGATCCAAATCCTGTTGGTGACACAGTTCAGCCGTTTTCCCATCAGCCACCTCACCTATGTGTTAACTTTTCACCGGGTGATTTTTTTATTATTGTATTTAATACAACCCTTTAAAAATTTGTCCATTCATGACATTCTTAAATGAGCTGCTTTGGCAGAATATGAAGAGTCACATGGCTGATAAAATGAATAATAAAAGTACTGTCCAATCTATAGACCTTCAAATAAAACTCTACAGAGTCAAATAGAAGAACTTGGATCAGCTTTAAAACAACAGCAAATCCTAAGTTAATTTGTCAACAAACTCTTATGAATCCAATCAAAAAATCTCGTGGAGCAATTTGTACAGATTATATTTGGAAAATAAATGTACCTAAATAACTTTTCAATAGATTCCAGTAAATGTATAAAATCAAGGCTTGTTATGCAAATGAATTAAATGTATACAGTTCAGAACTTTTCTTCTCACCTGTTTGATCCTCTCATGTTCAAACCAAACAAGAACATTAAAAAAGGCCTAAAACTATGACTGATAATGACTACTAAATTTTTTTTTATCCTGACAACCAAGTTTAAACTGTACATAACCACTTTCATGGCTCAGGTTTAAAAAGCCCAACTAGCAAGTTTGACTCCAGTATTAATCAATAAACTACTTAAAGTTATATAATCCAACACTCTAGCTCCGACACAACCTTTCTCAACCAAGGATGATATTTTCATTAATAATATTAAACATATCGGCCACACATAACCAATATAACAACCCTTAATTCAATCTACTTCTCATTAATAGGGTTATTGAACATTATGCTTTTTAATTTTTTTAACCAATATTGACTAATTAATAAAAATCTTTTTTGAAGTGTATTTATATTTACAAACAGTTACATTCCCGCATGGACAAGCATCAGAAACAAATAAACTCAAATTTTTAACATTAAATTATGTAAAATTATATGAATTTCACACACATTTTTTCATTTATTTTCAATCTTACATTAATCTTTAAATATTTAAAAGAAAAAAAAATATAGCGCTCTGGGGGTCCCCCTGCTGGTCGTAGGGCTTTGGCCTTAGATCAGTTGTATTTTCAGAAATACACATATGTGGTTCATATATGCACAGGACAAGATCCACACACGCACAGCATGATTCACACAAGCAAAAAAAAAAAAAGTATCTGATTCTACAGACTGCCTCTTTAGTAATAACTGCTCTCCTTTTCTTGTAGACCATTTGATATTAAAAATCATAGGAAGGACAAGCTGTGGTTATGGGAGAGTTGGTTTTCACTTCTTGGTGGCAGGAATCAAGGAAGTAAGTCAAAGTCATGTTCCCATGACTTTACGTGCAGGGTTGCAATTATTCTGTCGAAAAAAGGCATTTATGTTGGCAGCAGCAACCTTTGAATTCCTATCAGCTGGAGGGACATGACTTGAAAAATTCAACAATAAAGGCAAAGGGCAGTACAGGTCTCTCCACCCCTGAGGTGTCTGAATTATCATAATATACTGAGAAAGTAAAATAGCTCCGTTGGTTAGTTTTGGAAACATTTTAAAATGCCTAAAGGCGCAGTGACTGCAGAGCTTCTAAAGCAGAACTCCTGCATGAGGTTAACGTTAATGGTTTGTTATAACATCTGCAAAGAGGTGCAGAAAGACAGGAACAATAGACAAATGGAGATGTATAAGAGCATATAGTCATGGTTCAACGAAAGGCAAAAAGTATCACAATCTGATAAATAGCTAA